CCAGAACTCGCGCCCCAGAGAAAAATAAGGTACAATACCAGGAACATGAAAAAAATGTTAAAAAAATTCTACCCATAAAAATTTAGAAGTTATGAGAGTTTAAATTTTGCAATTTGACTATTTCTGATGGAAAAATAATTAGGGCTGAACCCTACTTTGAATATTCTGAGCCCTACTTTAAAACTTCGCCTTTTTTAACAACTTTCTTTAAAAATACTAACGCATAAAATTCTAATACAAACTGAACCAGAAGTAACACACAAAATTCATATTTTTGTTATTAATGTTTTAGATAGTAGGTACACATCGTTATCTTTCTGGTAAACATAAAAAAAACTAAGAAAAAATAAATAAAAAAAAATTCAAAAAAGAAGAAAGTAAAATAAAAAACTTAAAAAAGTTATAGAAAGAGTTTTATCTTCTTGTTCTTTTTTATTTTATAATGGGTAATTTTTTGTTTTTATTTTTTTGTGTTTGAGTTTCATATTAAGTGTTTTTATGCTTGTTAGTTAAAAAAATATATACAAAAAACAATTGCTTCTTATAAAGTAAACCAATAACAAAAAGACAAAGCCTTTTGTGTTTAATTGTCAATTTTTTTTTTTTTGTAAAGTTTTAGTTTCATTTTTTTTTTCTTATTACCAGAAAGATAAAGGTGTGTTCTATTTAAAACAGTAAAGAAAAATGCCAGTTGTCATTAAAAAAAATAAAATGTCACAATGCAAAAACGAATGACGTCACTAAATGTCACTATATTGTCAAAATATAGCATTTAAAAAAATAAAATGGACGTGTTTGAGGATTTTTTTGAAAAAGCTGTAAAACTGTTTTAGCCCCACTAAAAATTTTGGGCGCCCTACCCAAACATTGTTTCTACCTACGGACCTTTACTAAATAATTATGAAAAAACATATACAAGATCATCATATCATTAAATAAATAGACATAAAAAAATGTCAAATGTCAAAAAATAAATGTAAAATTTTTTGACAGATAAAATTTTTTAAACATTTTTTCCATATTTCTGGTATCTTACTTGCTTGAAATTTTTCTATGGAGTGCGAGTTCTGACACCTGTATAATCCTCTATTATTTGCACTAGCAAAAAATTTTTTTAATCAATTACAAATATTTATTTTTGCGCCGGCTTTAAATCTTGGGACACCCTGTAGGTACACTTACCTAATTAAATTTTGAATAAAGATGTGGCAGCCTTGAGGGCGCCGCCGTTATCGCAGGTCAGGAATGGCAATGAATCGCGATTAATAAAATCTGTGCAATATTGACCAATAAGAGTAACAATAAAAACAGTTAAATTAATGTCTGTAAGCCATAAACAAAGCCATATATTTGCAATAAATCGCGGCTATAAATTATCCCGAGTCGTGCCTTTAGCAGGAATTGTCAAGGTATGTATTTTTGTGTAAAGTCTTTTTTTCGGCTAATTTCATGACCTTAATTAGGCGTTTTATGCAGCACGAGTTGTAAATAATGCGTTGTTTATTACGAACTAAATTCTTAAAATTCCCGCAGCGAACATCCTTCAGTTACCTTTAAACCTGTCAGCTGAATCCCATTTTTCAGTTTTAGAATTTTAACGATTTCGCCTGTAGTGTGTTGTAATTATTCAAGGGGGGCACTTCAACCTGTTCTCAAAAAGGCAACATGAATCACACTCTGTTTTGGGGAATTTTTACAACGTTTCCGGTTGGTTTTGACATTGGGTGTGCCAATTTCGCGTGCTTTATTAATCTTGTTAGTGCATGTTGTAAATTGACACATTCTGAAACTCTATCATAATTGGATTAAATTTGGGTTGGGGGAATGTCTAGTGGTGACCTAATTTTAGGAGGATTCAGAGAAGTACTCTTAAATCGAGAGGTTTTGGTTCCGGTTGGACTTCTTCACACCTTAATCGATTTGAAAACCTTCACACTTTTGCCGGTACATTTGGAAGAATGGAGTGAAGGCGCCGCCACCCACAAACCGGATTAGAATAGCCCCCTAAAAGTCGCTTTGGCGACGAAAATAGGCGGCGATGACGGTTTCAAGCACAATTACGTGACTTTCGCAAATATGGAATGAAACCAATAAGAAACAATATTTTGAGAATGTGTACTTCGTTAATAAATAAAATAAATTTGCAAATAATCATCTCAATATTAACCGTTATACTCGTAGTAATATATTTGGTCGAATTTATTTTTAAGTCTGCTTTATTTTTAATAGGGTCTTTCATTTTATTTACGACAATTTTAAAACTTTCAATTTTTTGGAAAAAATTAACGTAAGTGTATTTACTATACCGAGTGCGCCAGAACTCGCGCCACAGAGGAAGGCCATATAATGTAAGATACCAGGAACATGGAAAAAATGTTAAAAAAAATTATCTATAAAAATTTCGAAGTTATGAGAGTTTAAATTTTAGACTTTGATCCTATTTATTTCTGTTGGAAAAATAAATAAATAAAAAAAAATTCTAGTTTTTTTGCTACAGGCTATTAGAACAGAAAATAAGGAAGATGTATCCTAAATTGTAACTCTGTTCAATGTTATTTGTGGCTTTCACTGCACAATTTTTGTACCTTTACCATGTTCCTGGTATCTTACCTTACTTGAAAATTTTCTCTGGGGCGCGAGTTCTGGCGCATCCTGTATAGGTATCTTTGAAAACTGAAGAAAATTGTTTTTTTTTTTAACTTGTTCCAATAATTTTGAAAAAAGTCGACATTATATTTGAAAACTCAAGAAAATTGTTTTTTTTTTAACTTGTCCCAATAATTTTGAGAAAAGTCGAGGTACTATAGGTAATATTATTATGCACTTATACACATTCAGTACTAAATTCTGCAACTTTCACCTTCTATAAAACCCGTTAAAAAATGCATTAAAATTTATTTAAATGATCTTTGGGACTATCTCTTATCGGTCATTAGTAAAATGCTTAATTTTTTCAAAACAAAAAAATTTAATTTCCTCTGAGACGTGGTACAAAATGAAATACGAAATCAAAACATTTATGACATGTTTGTTCCTTATTAAGTTATTAAACAAACAAACTTTTATTTATTGAAATTTTTTTTTCAGATGTTCAGAAGTAGTGAAATTTTTCGAATGTGATATTTTTTTACCAAACTCGGGCCAAATATTATTCTAGTTTTGTTCTTTACCATTTTTTGTGTTGTTTTTGTGGAAACTACAACTGTCTACTTCACGTTAACTGCATCTGAAACGAAATTGTTTATTAATTATATGGTTCGCAATTTTTTATATAACTCTTTAAAGTGATGATAATCATAATTTTGTCTTGAAATGAATTGTTGATTTTTACAACATCCTATCTGCTCTTATGATATTATGTATTTAAAAACAAGTTAATACATAATTTAAAAAATGAGTTAAAAGTTTGGACCATAAACAGCGCGCTGGTGAAAAAATACATTCCGAAATTAAAATGAAAATAAAGCTTATAACTTATTTCATTATCTCCAATTCTTTGCTCCTGTCGGTAGCGAATTCAACATTTATTTGAACTGTTAGTATTTGAATTTGGGAAGAATTTCTGTCTTTACTGGGGTTACGCTCTCGACCAGTGTCTTTGTTCTAATCTAAATATAAAACTGCTAAACAATTGCAGTGAATATTACCTATTTTTCAAAAATTTGTATGTCAAAAGAATAGCAATACAAACTGACATCAGACACGATTTCGAAAATTCATATTGCCTTTTGTTTTATATTATTTTTTATGCCCTTTTTTCTTTTACGATAAAATGCAGGGTTGTGGATTCGGTACCTCTAAAGTCATATCTCAAGATTTTATTTTTATCAAATAGTGTAAGAGACCTAATAAGAGCCAGGGGAAGTCTCACATGATACTAGGTTTTTATAGGGACGTTAAAAATTTTAGAATTTACCTTTTCAGAAGTTACCTCTTTTATTCATTTTGCATTTTAATTTTAGTTTTTTTTCATTGATTATTTTTTTCAGTTTTGATTGTTAATGAGTAGAAGTTTATTAATTTTTTTTTATTTAATGTGCAATGAATTAAAAAAATAAGAGTAATTTTTAATATCCACTTTAATTGTTAAACAGTTTATCTATTCACACACAAAATTGTTCAAAAATGTATTTTCCGCGTTTCTATACTGTTTTATGCATTTGTTTGAGCCTGTAGGATTATTACAAGTTACATTTGGTCCAGTTTTAAAATTTTCGATTTTCGATAAAAATTGAGGTAACAGAACGAAAATATTTGGAATTATTACAGTACTTTTATTGATTAGTTTAATTTTTTTTATTTGTACACTTTGTTTCACCATTAAAATATATTTTTTTGAAAATAAAATAAAACAACATCAAACAAACAACTGTTTTATTTATTCAATTTCTAAAATTTATTTAATTTTTAATTTTCCTTTGTTGAGCAATAATTTCCCCCTCTTTGAATCTCTTGTCACCCAATTATTTCCCAAAGCGATGAGTCGATGACACAAACGCACTCAAATCGTTAAAAAACAATCTCTTCATGTCCTTGTTCATCCACATGTCAAGCAACGATAACACACAAAGTACTCATCATGAAATTATAAACACCCAACATTTGTGAAATAATTTATGAAACAATAATTCATTCATCGTCCAATCCAATCCAAAATAAACTCAAATCGTAAAACATTCCCAATCTTGTTAAATCTTGATATACAAGCTATCGATCAATTCCGGCGTCCTGCGCAACAATCGAAACTTTCCCAGACGGCGTAAATAATTTCCTCGTCTCCCTATTAGGCCAGAAAGTGGTCAAAGAAAACCCCTCACAAAACGCGTTGTTCTATTCCTCTCGAATTTAAATAGAATAATCTCCAATTCTCGTGTCAATTAGTCGCAAATTCTCATTAGCCCGGAGTCGCCGCCGCCGCCGCAAAAACGGCGACCAAAATGAGTGTTTTTCAGTAGGAGCGGTGAGGAGTAACCGCGTTTCAGTACTAAACAACTCTCCATTCTATAGTCAGTCCTCAGTTCGTGTAGGTCGACTCCGGGTAGTCGCGACTCTATTTTCGCCGTCCTGCCTGAAATAAACGCACCCCGAGAAAAATTCAGGCGACGTTGCAGCATGGCCACGCCGTGGGAAATACGAATTTCGGTTTATCGGAAAAATAATGTACGCTATTGCGGTTGCCGTATTTCCTAACACGTCTCGGAACTCGGAGAAATGTGTCGTTTGATATAAACCGACTGAGTGAATGAAAACTGGACATTTTCCGCGATGTGTGTGTGCTGTTGTAGTGTTTTCCTCCAGATGTGGCTCGGTGTGATTCTGGTGCTGTGGCTGTGCTGTGGACCTTCGATACAGTTTAGGATTAGCAAAAGGGAAATTGTCGATGATTCGGTGGTAAGGATCGATAAAACGTGACGGTTTTTCAAACGCTCGCTTAAACCGGAACATATGCAGGGTGTGTGCAGGGAGGGTTATTAAATTAATGGCCCAAGACACGAATTCGATACACACCACACTTTAAACAACATTTTTTTATTCATTGATTTCTAAATGTCTGTTATATAAGAAATTGCTTTATTTACATCCGAGGTATTTCTATTATTTGAACTTCAAACGTATTATTACGATAACCTCTTTCAAACATTATTTCCAGTTGAACAACTAACATTTTTACTGATAATCTAGAAAGGCATTAAGATTGTGACATTTTACTTAACTGTAACAAGCAATTGAAAAAATCTTGTCACACTTTTCAAATATCTTGAATTCTAATAAATCCAGTTATTAAGAGTTTGTCAATTTTCTTTATTTTTGCCGAGTTTCGAAGCAACAAGTCTCGATCAAGACCTGGTGGCTATTTTTAGAAGAAATTATTTTACTTTCTTTTTTTAAGTTTGAGGTTTTGCCGAAGTGGCCACTCATTTGAGTATTTTTTTACAAATGAAGATTTGGCAAAAATTTGAGGAATTTGAATGAACAATTTTAACACAAAAAGACTTAAAATTTTACCCATTTTAGAAACAAATATGTCAAAAAAATAAACAGGAAACAAATAAATGTCTGTTTTTTCGAAATACTCACAAGATTTTAAGGATTAAGTATATGAATCTTAACTTTGATCATAAATAATAAAAAAATAAAGAAATGTAAAGCCAAAATGTAGTATGCATACAAAAAAAATCTGCATAAAAACATACAAAACTTTTTGATTCTTTTATGAGATTTTGCATAGTACAAAACAGGTGACTAAAACAATGAAACCAAATATTTTGTGCTTAAACTAAGTATTTATTTTTTTCAAAAAACTAATTGGTGAGTGATAAAGTTCTATAAATAGTTAATAATATAGTTTTTCCAATTTTTTGGGGAGTTCTGCGAAATTTTTATTTTTTTTTAATGAGAATTCTCCATAAATTTATTTTCAGAAAGGCTAAGATCCTGAGTTTTAGAAGTAATTACATTATGTATATTCAATTTTTATGGAAAAAAATTTTCAATAGTATTATCCCGAGTGTATGCCAAATTGTCGAAATTAGAATCAATATATCTGGAACAAAATTTTCAGAAACAATATTTTCATTATGAAAAATTTAAAAAAAAATAATTCGTTCAAAAAATATGTCACTCAAATCTTTCAAATTTCTGAGATTCATTCAATCAAATTCGCGAAAATTTAGCTCACCGGAAAATTATCGATAATTTAGACACAAGCTGAATTATCGCGTAATTTGAATCTCATTGGATGAATTTCAGGAATTTGAAAGATTTGATTGGATTAAATTTGAGAGAAATAGTCATAAATTTCCATTTACCAAAAACAAAATAAAATTTCGTTCTCAAAATACGACCACATTTTTATAGCACATTTTTATTAATTATTTTCTAACGGGAAATGATTAAACAAATGTTTGGTTTCATACTTTTTGTTCAACTTGTATACAAACTTCAGGGCAACAACACAATTTTGTTTGATCAAAAATGTCAAGGTTTTAAATTTTTAACAATTTTAACACAAGCATAAGACAAATTTTAAAATCAAAAATATGAAATTTTCACTAGACTGAGTATATTTTTTGTGCTATTTTCTTATTTGTTTAACTGAAAATGTATTTTTTAAATATTAATGACTATGTTGTAGCTTTCAATTTCTCAAACCTGGATAAATAAGGACAAGTAACCAAAAATATATGAGAAAAACTAACAAAAAATTTTTACTACTGAATAAAACCATTAAAAAGCAATTTTGCGTCAAACCAAAACATTTTCCTCTAATGAGAAAACGAGACAGACCTGAGCTGAAAAGTATACATAGTTTCATTCAAAATATTGAATTTTTTTGTTTCCAAATAATATATTAAATTTAAACATTTTATTGCCGTTCACAGATTTGTTTACGAAAAAATTAAACCGTTTTCAAAAACAACTACATTTATTGCATTTGCAATTGCAGATTTCATTTTATAATAAACATTTCTTCACTTTTTCTTTATTTACTTCTTCATCTAAGCTTTACAAAAATATAATTAAAACTTTAATTAACAATAGCTGTTTTATTACATTCTGAGAGGAAAACAAGATGGTAAGTTGAAGGAAACAATCTCTCATCTCTGATGCATTTCCTAGCATTTAAATTTTCTCTCTCGACTGATGTTTGTATTAATAGAACGTCCTTTAAATTAGCATCTTTGAGCTAGCATTAGCATTTATTATTTATATCATTACAACAGCTTCATTAAACGAGAAGCTAGTGATTAGAAAATAATTACAACAATTACATGACACCAAACAAAAGAAATTTTTTCTTAATAATGTACGCATGAATTAATATTATTATTATTACACGTATATCACTTTGACGTTTGGTTTATTGTTCTACACGACATTGTTTATAAATTGCAATAAGTACAATCATCCATAAATATTTGTACAGTATTTCCGGCCTTTATTTCCGAACTGAAGTATATTTAGGAACCAACATCAATATTTGTTTTAGTGCAATTGCAATCGCTAATGGCCCACGGTCGTAAAACCTCCAATTTTCTATTTCTGAAATCGAAATTTTTTTCGTAGAAGTAAACAATTCCCAAGTAACCACAGCCATCTGAATGCATCAGGTGTTTGGACACTTCCTCTGACTCATGTTCGGAACTTTGAATTTCCGATTTCCGAAATAATTCTTCAAAAAAATCACCATTACCGGAAATCAGTCACAGCAGTGATGATAAGATGGGTGCAAACAACCATGTTTAATATCTCTGTCACGCCAGAGTGTGTGTGGCCTCAAGTTAAAAATCTGGCGATGTTTCATAATGGCAATGAACTTTGAATAATAATTGATAAGATTTTTGTGCGATTGAGCCGACCTTTATACTATTCTATGGCAAAAGGGTGTGCCACAGGGGTCTCTCTAGCCACCCATTCTATTCCATCGGTTTATTTCCAGTTGTTTATGTCTATAAAACCCATATTAGCGTTTGTTAACCTTGGTCAGGTTTCACACTGGTTTGCTCGAAACAAAAAGCCCCGAGACAACGAAATTCGCAATAATAGAATAATTTGCACTTCCCGTTCCAGTGGGCGTTTCTAAATTCACGTCCTTGGGAGGTAAACAACCAGAGCACTTATCAATTTTGTCAAAATTGGACACGGGCCAAGTATTTATAAATAAATTTGATGAGGTTACTGCTTCTGTTTTATAATTATTGCATTGATTTATTTGGAAGCCAGCTTTCGTTTCTCTTGGCCCCCGAAAATCTTTGTCTCGTCATCAATGCACTCTTTTTGCGTAGGTGCATGTGCTATCTGAGTGGCGCCCAAAGCATTTCCGGTGCCTGCGATAGGCTCGCCGCGAAGAAATCCCAATTTCCCTTTTTTTCCATCTCCAGAAATGAGACTTGCAACAATGGCTTTAAACTCATCCTACACACGAGTCTGTTCGTTGTCTGCTTTGTTAAATGCTTGATATCGATAAATTATTAACCAGACTAGGTCACTGCACTGAATCCTTCAACAAGTGGGTGCCGATCGCAAGGTTGTTCTTTTACGCTGTTTGGATGGAGGATGTTGTCCTGAGATTGTCATCCGATTTAATTAATTTTCACGGCGAGACAAATGTCAATATTTGCAAAAATCATTCAAACGTGCTTTTGGAGGACTCTCAAGACCATTTCCTCGCTTTCTTTCTCTTTTGTCTTTCGATTTATACTTCTTGTTTTTCTCTAAACATCTCAAATTCAAATAAATTGAAGAAAAAGAATTGCTACATTAATTCTCATAACTGTGTATTTTTGTTTCATCTTTATTGTGTATAATACAGAGTGAATATAAAGTGTCGAAGCAAGCCTGCAGAAAATAATAATTAATATAAATTAAAGTAGGTAATACAAAAAATGTCATCGTATTTTGAGAACAAAATTTTGTTTTGTTTTTGAGTTAAGCGATTTTTTTTGTCAAAATTGCAATTTATGTATTTTTTTTTAATTAAATGAGAACGAAATTTTGTTTTGTTTTTGAGTTAAGCGATTTTTTTTGTCAAAATTGCAATTTATGTATTTTTTTTTAAATTAAAAGCAAAGTAGATAGTTGTAATCCTTAGATCATAACCTTCATAAGAAAAATAGTTTTATAGTGGGTTGCCATTTAAAAAAATAAAAATTTTGTAGAATTCAAAAACAAAAGAAAATTTCGAAAAAGTTTATTCTTGATAAAGCATCACATTTTTATAATACTTTATCATACATCAATTAGTTTTTATAAAAAATACGTAGTTTAAACAAAAAACGTTCGATTCTATACTTTTTATTCACCTGTTGTTTTTAACATTTTTTTGACGATTGTTAGACTTTTAACTTGTTTCTGTCCTATCTTTTTTTAATTTAAATTTGTATTTTTGTTGCATATGTGTACAGGGTGCTGCATTTTGGATGTCCGAATAGGGAATCTCCGAAACTAAGAGGTTTAGCCAAAAACGAGTGATATACATTCTGGGGCTCATTTTTTGAGAAAATAATATTGGTTAAAACCGCATCGTCTTTTGTTTTCGACTTACAAACAAAAGTTGACATTTTGGCGAAATCTAAAAAAATAAATATCTTCGTTATTATAGAAGATACGGATTTGAAATTAAGACATTACACAGGCACTTTTTTACGAGGAATTTAAAAATGTAGTTAACAATTTTTTTCAGTTATTAGTTTAGCCGTAATAAGATAAACTTGTATTTTTTTAAATGGAAATCATAGGCGGCTATGGCAATTTTAAAAAGCTTATTTTTTTCTGATCTAAAAAATATTTATTTGTAACAAAATATTTTTTTATAACTATACTTAAAAAGTGAAATACTTATTTTGTGTGATAATAGTTGGCCATGGGAAAACCATTTTACTCCAAATGCG